AGAAAAAAGGTTTTATCAAGTAATTTAGGGTAAATTGCATTCTCCAGCGGATAATGGCAAACGTGAGTTTCCTGACTTTGTGAAATATCTCGACGACATGAGGAGATCAAGAGAGATTACGGAACATAGTGGATGCGAGGTATTTGACGAAGCATGCTCTGGAAACTTGTTCTCCACTGATTGTAACATCTTGACAAGAGTTCATTACATCAAGGTACTTGTCACCTTTCTACAAAGAAAATATGACATCTTTACACTTGAAAGGTTTCATTTTAAGGTTGTAATGTGACGACCAATCGGTGAGCAGTGAAATGTTAGGCATAGGTTTGGGGTATATGGAGGAATTCACAAACTTCATGTCATACACGGCATCATCCGCAGGTATAGAGGAAATATAGGTTGAGAACAGGAGAGGAGAGAGAATAGCATCTTGAGGAACTCCGTGATTGGAGGGTAAAAGTGAAGAGTTGTAGCCCTTATATTTAGTATACCGTGGACGATGGGTCAAGTAATTATGGAGGAGATCGGTAAGTTCCAGAGAGACAGTATGAAGAAGTCCGGACCTATCAACACAATTAAAGGCGTCACTATGGTAAAAAAACAGCCAAACAGCTTGGATTCTTGTCCAAGGAAGAAGAAATGACTGATAACTGCTGCCAGCGCATTGACTGGAGAGTTCGAATATGAGAAAGTGCCACCAAAGTGAACTTCGTCCGAAGATTAATACATAGAAAGGGAGAAGAGATTGCCAGTACTGGTGCTTCACATACTGTCGTTGGTAGATCGTTCCGGAGACCCAAATAATGGATGAGGACGTTCTCCGTTCTACCATTAGACAGTTTAATGAAGGTTTATTGCAGATTGTAGTTGATAAGACCAGCTTCTACGAGGTGGTTCTTCTTCGACGATCACTTTATGCGCTCGAGGAGTACCGGACCACGTGCAGTCAACCATGGTGGGACGTCGAATTAAACAAAATGTCACACTTTTGAAGTGGTACTCATTGTGGTTCACAAAAGAGAACGAAGTGAGTTAAGTGCTTGTGGAAGTACTGATTCTCACCGAGAGATTGTGGGGCCCCTCTTGTTCAATGCTACGAAACAGCCTTCCAAAAAGCTCCACTCAACCTGACCGTCAATCTGTGGATTGCGGGTGGTATGATTGTCCCATTCTTCTCTCGTAAGTGGGTTCATAATTCGCACGTTAGGAAGGAGTAATATTGGTCCGAATAGACGCCGACATATCAAAGATCGAGAACAGTTGCCAGATTTGAATGAGAGCTCATCCGAACAGCTAAAAGCGAATAGGATCTGGGGGTCTTCGTCTATGATCGTCAGCATGTGGGGATTGCTAGATGTTAGCGACAATGGCACTTAGAGTCTTTGAAAAGACCGATTCGTTTTGGGCAGACTCGTCACACGATTTATGGCTGCGCGGTTTCAATGCGTCATTGATGCTGCATCTAGAGGTCGTGGTTTTAACTTGGTAAACTGAATACGGTAGCTGTTTTTGAGCGTATGATCATTATCTACGTGATTAGAGTCATGGAGGCTCTTATATTTTTGTCACGCGGAGTTACCAGAGTGTCTGGTATGGATCAGTATGTGGTTTGATAATAAGTCTGATAACTCGAGTCTCCACCTCTGAGTTGCTTCGTTTTTTCATCGTGCTCTTTTGTTTACCATAGAAAATGTGATCTACCTAGTGTTGTTTCATGACAGGTGTAAAGTGTTCGCCAAGAAAGTGCTGTCGACACTTGCAAAAAGCTTTCATAATTGCGCAATTTTTCTCGGCAGTGGCGTGTTATCGTGTTATCGGAAATAAAGCTGTCGAGCGGTTATTTGGAATAGGCGATGCTCGTGTTTCCATGTCCGATATTGCGGTATGAACCATGATAACAAGCATGTCATTTTCCAAATCCCGTTTAAGTCACGCGTATGCTTTTCCAACAGGTGGTGATAGAAGGAGAATGTTTTCAAAGAGTGGATTAATTTTATCCAAAAACGACGGTTTTCACTGAGTAGTAAACGGTCGCACCTCACAGTGGGGGAGGGGGATTTCACACAATTATTACGTTGCTTGTATAACAGAACATATCCTTCGACCTCTTCGCCTTCAAAATTTTATTAATAGTGAAAAACAGGCTATGCCGACAGTAACCCCAAGCGGTGTACGACAGAACTGAAAGAGATGGTCACATGCCTCCGACTCTTCGTCATTCTTCTCACGGCCTGTAATGAGAATCTGATTACATCCAATTTAAAAATTCAGGGTACTTTGTATGTCAACGTGAAATGTTCTCCTCGGTTGTAGAAAAGAACTATCGAGCAGAGGCCATGTTTTTTGGATGGGCACACAGCGATTCGCGGAGGGAGATCGCGCTCTCAGAATTCTTGCGCTTGGAGAGGCGTTTTCCAACTGGATATGAATTGAAAAGGCATTACAGTTATGTAGCCGGTAAGCTTATTCTTGCGAGGTGTTTAGATTGTTCTGATCAGCATCAAACTAGTATGGTCAAAGCTAGCGATCCATTATTAGTCGTTAACCGTTTGTTTGGTGATCAAGAAAAGTCATGGCTTAGGCAGCGCGCTCTACTTTGCTACCATTGTAGTAAGTCAGCCGAAGTGGTGAAGAGGAACTTTGAGGAAGTGGCGATAGAATGGTGTATGGAACTATATGAATATGGGTATGATATCTATTATAGTATTTTTCCTCAAACATGAAATCGTAATGTCGATCAGCTCGCACGAAATGGCAACCTCTGTGTTGTTTCTACTCTATTCCTGTTTGATATAAACGATACTCTCAGTCCACGTCCCACTGCTCATTTGTATAGGTTTGTGGATTAAAGTGGTCCCCGGATAGCCAGTATCTGGCTTCTGGCGGAAACGATAACCGGTTGCTTGTTTGGAGTCAACATGCTCCAGCAGATGGTGGTCCCGTTCTAACCTATGAAGAGCACGTAGCTGCGGTCAAAGCGATCGCCTGGTCGCCACATCAACACGGTCTTTTAGCCAGTGGTGGCGGTACAGCTGATCGATGCATTCGATTTTGGAACACATTGACTGGTCAAGCCTTGCGCAGCGTCGACACTGGAAGTCAGGTAAGTAATATGAATTATTTAGACGATGAATGTTTGGATTAGACCATTCATTTTTTCACATTTACCAGGCACTATTGTTGATCTTGGTTGTGGGTTTCACTCCTTGAGAGATCGTTAATTCCTCATCAGTTAAATGCCGTGGAAATCTTTGTGATAACCGATCTGTTCGATTGAACCAAGTGTATTACCTTTTACATCACTATATTTTTGTTGGTTAAGCGGTTTGCGTAAAATCACAATTATTCATAGGCATTCTTGGAAATGAGGTAGAAGCAATATCCCCAGCACTGCTCCGTCTTTTATTCGAAGTTGTTTTATAAACAACAAGACAGCAGGGTTGTTCAAGCAATCTGGTGGCCAGTATTTTGATCCATTCCTCTCTTGTAAAAAGCTTTGTCAAGTAAGTGGATCAAACACGAAGCAATGACCTTATTATTTGCGGATCTCTTTCGGCACCCTGTAGCACTGTCGTCAAACCCAGCGTTTTCTAGTGACGACGCTTGCCCAGCGAAAACCCGGACATCGTAGGTGCTCTTTCACGGTCACTGGGTCATTGAGCCTGCTTGCACTTCATTCGCGACTGGCAGCCGAATTGGTGGCCGTTCTCCTATCCTCGACCCTGGGGATACGTCGGGTTCATGCATCTCTACCTCTGCATGATAAGTTAAAATTAGGCACAAGTTTCGTGCATAATACATGACTAGAATAAAATGCCCTCCGGACGAAAGCTTCCACAAAAAGCTCTTCTCGAGCCCTTCATATGAACTTTTATTGTTCCAGAAAAAATCACTACCCATTCCCTTAGGAGTGAAACAACTATATAATCTACGTCGGACTAGTCAAAATATCTTAGTACCCCTATAATGACGCAACATTTTCCAGATTTCATCATATCTGAATGCGTCTGGAACTAAGGTTGTGTTTCTCAAAGTGCCTCGATCATAACTGGACACAGTCGAACGTTATGCGATTTCATCCCGGATGTTCTTTTAGGTGATTGGGCATGTACTAATATATGTTTGAAACTGTTTGTTGGCTCGGATTCAAATAGCTTTAATTATGTTTACATAGTCACAATAGAAGCCTCCTTTCCACGACCTGGCTTCCAAGCCAAACCAACTATTTTGTTGTTTGTTTTCGGACGGAGACAGTGTGGTTGTTACGTGAGCGATATTTGATTGTTGCTAATACCTGCATTGATTTTCCGCTGATTCTACTCGGGATCTAATGTAACGGTTCATCCATCGTTTTAGGTGTGCAACATTGCCTGGTCCATCCACAGCAACGAGTTGGTGAGCACACATGGCTATTCACAAAATCAAATTCTCGTCTGGCGTTATCCCAGTATGACTCAGTTAGTAAAATTGACTGGACACTCCTATCGAGTTTTGTACTTGGCTATCAGTCCGGATGGGGAAAATATTGTCACTGGAGCTGGAGATGAGACCCTTCGATTCTGGAACATATTTACACGGGCAAAAACACCAAAGGTATGTTTCGAATATCAGGTCACAGATCCGTTGTTCTGAGAACGTACTCCACACGACATCAAATGTTATTTTGAAACATTGGTTCCTTTCTGGTTATTGTAATTATCAGTTGACTTTTTATATTTTTTTATTATACACTTCCGTGTAATGAGAAACAGACGGGGTAGATCCCATAGTTACAAGGACCTGCTGTTCAGTGATGGAAACCGGTAACCTAAGCCCTGGGACTTGGAGTGGCAAACCAAATAAGGCCCCGATAGGTTAGGCGTGGTATTCAACTGGACGACAGCAGAACTGCCTACCACCAAAGTCGGGTGGCGGTGGCGGGGATGAAATACGAGAATCCATCTGTAAGATTTGAAGCGCAAAATTAAACCACCCTACATGAACCAATTAATCTGTGTCGTTTTAGGAAGAATAATCCATGAGTCATATGGATTATTCTTCCCGAAATGACACAAAGATTAATGGGTTGATGTAGGGTTCAATTTTTATCACATTATGACAAATAACAGGAAGTTGGCAACCTTAGTTTTGTTTGGAAACCAAGAATTATAAACAGTCGCAATTGTGTATCTACACACTTAACCTTGGCATCCAGTTTTCACTATGCTTTATATTGGTGAAAGGGTGCTTAATCGACCAGATAGATAGCACTAAAATAGTAAACAGAGTCAGAGTATGAATGTGAATGTTTTAGAATCTGCAGAAAATGAACAAGGACATAATTATTGTTGCTTCGTGGTCCATGTAGATCAGGGATAGAAATCTTGATTTGGTTCGAGTCGCAGAGGTGTACAACACTGAAAAAGCAGGTGTTCAGTGCTCTGTCGGTCATTTTCATTTCCGTGCACTTTAGTGCACCGGTTTTTTGTAAGGGAGCAGAATGAAGAATGAAATGTTGACAGTAAATTCAAGGGGAAGATAGAGAACTCATGCACTGGTTGCAAGAATATTGAGTGGATGCATAGATTGGTTCACAAAGCCTTCTTTAGAATCTTCAAATGTTAAGTGAAGTGTTACACATGATAAAGTAAACCTGTAGCTGTCTCCTAGTTGTTCTTTGTTCTGATGCACTTCACCTTGCTCTCCTACAGGTCCCGCCATCATCACTAAACCTCTTCAACGGGATACGATGAACACTACATTTTTCACCACGTCTTTCATTCCCTGCCACTCATCATATATCGTCTTCGTCATTTGACTAATATGCGTCAGTTCCCCCTGGTTTCTTGAACTCTACCAATGCTCCAGTCTATCCTTTTTCTCGTGATCGCACTTTAAACGTCCCCTTCTCTGCACATCTAAACTGACCGGCAGTGATTACTATTATTATTATCACCATTCTTCTGGTGGTTTTTGTCACTACCTTTGTTGGTGCCGACGCAGTTATTTCTCTATCTCGCTCCCGGAACAGTTGATAAACACTTACTCTGCAAATCGTCGTGTATATATGTATCATCTCTCTCTTTGAATATTTGACGAAATTTTTGTTCCTCAGACAGTACTATTCTCTCATCTCCACCTGTTGTCTCGTCTGCACACTGCATATCGGACCTCTTTCCATGAAAAATTTTCTTTAGTCCTGTCCTCTTCAATTATCGTCATTGATTATTTGATGGAGCAATGTTATGGACCTGAAAGACTGATCCGTCTAGAGGGAGGAGGCTATTGTGCTTCTCTGTTCCTCTCTCGTGTACCTCTGGTTTCATTTCATCCCATTTGTGCCACTTCATTTGCACATAATGTTAATTTCATGCGTCTTCTTGCACCAATTATCAGGGTGAATTCAACCGTTTTTACTTCCCGATATTCATTTTTACTGTTTTTCGCTTTGACGGATTTCAAACGAAGCTGTTCGTGATCCCCATTCGTTCTTCACTCCTCCTTTGTATATCTCTTTCCATCTGGCACAAGTGTCCATCGCATTTCACTTCTACCTATTGCTGCTTCTTGTCTGCAGAACAGCACACTTCTTAAAGGCGAAAAAACTACACACACTAACATCTTGTGATAGTCTGTCCATCCCGCTGTGTGTGACTTGTGAATGTAAAACATGCATACTTCCTTACATAGATGTAGATCTATTCGAACAACGAAAGAGCCAGTATGGTAACTGTGTTAATCATCTTGAAAGCTGTCTTCTTACTGAGCGTTACACCAAGTAGGTGGTATGTCTGATACTTGTCATCAGTTCCTCCACATGACATACCCAGTGTAATCAGTTCAGTCCACCTCATGAGATACGCTTAGCGCTGGCATGTGAAACACGACCTCACGCTGGAAATGCCCAAAGGCACATGTTGATTTCTGTGCTCTGTTCATGCAAAATAACGATGCGTGTGCTCGGCTTCTTACAGTATCAGGCTTCAATGATGTCCAAACCTTTTTCGTGTTGTAGCAAAATAACCGGGTTAGATTGGCTTGGAGTTGGCCACATCATCTCGCCCGTGTGAAAATAATGAGGATTAAAACTGTTTTCAGTGAGCTCTTTTGACACCATATTACGTACAAGATTGGTATTAGAAATAGGTGTCATTCCTCAAACGCACCCCACGACAAGCAAATCGATAGGGAAACAATATCTCCTTGTAATTGCAAACAGAAGAAGAGACATCAAGAGCAAGACAGTTAAACCTGCGGAATCAGGATCGATCAGTGTGATCCCAAGAATTTCTATGCCATGAAGACGCATTCTGATTGCTACGTTGATACGTCTGGCACTTGACCCTATCGTGAGGAAGTAAGCAATCTCTGAAAATATTTAGGCACATGTGAATACATTGCTTGGCTCCTATCGTTGGTCAAAAAACCCTTTGACTTTGGTCACAGCGTGTCGAAGATTTTTTGGAATGAATCCCGTAATAGAAACCTAAATAGCCCTAAATAGGTGGATAAGATGATATTGCCGGAGGCAATGGAGCTACTGATTCATGCAGGCCGCATGACGCGGATGATTGTCACGTTTAGCTTTACGATGCGAAAGTAGCGATGCCGTAACAGTGCAGAAGCCAAATAGAGTAATTCAACGAGTGGGGAATAATCTGTCCACGAATCCGAGTATGCTATTCTCCTCCAATGTAACTGATACAGCATTGGAATATTCCGTCTACTGCTTTTGGCAAATTGTACTTCGAACCACTGACGAAGATTTCGGATCATTTGTCCCCTCTATAACCAACGGGTGGCTTCACCATCCGTGCACATTGCTCAGTTCTCATCGACTGATTCATAATATCCACTTATTTACCTTGAACAAAGAACGTTAGACACTGAACAATACTCGTACACCTAAGCACAATCTGATGCTAATTCCTGAATAACACTGGTGTTTAACAGAAATCGTTATTAGGAGAGATATTTCAGATAGTTCTAAGTTTTGTTTTGTGGAGTTCCACCGTAAGACAGTAATCGGTTGAAGCAAGTTTGTTAGCATGTTAAAACAGTACGCTAAAACATTTTGCTCTAGTTTATGTGTAATCCGAAATGCTCACCGGCATCGTACTGCTTGAGCAATCTCCACGAGAAAAGCCTGCGGTTATACCAAGCCAACTTCAGATCTGATGAAGGCTGTATCTCAATCGCAATACACTGCTGTCGGATTCAGGTATTTTGTTCACCGAAATCCTTAATCCCGGGTCTCTCTTAGTGACTTGCATTTGCAGTCTACGCCTTAGAAATCATCAAATGATGGGAAGCCAACATTCGGATCGGCGATATTGTATATCATGTTGCTGGCATAAAAAAAGAGCGAAAGATCGTTTTTGTCGGGATGCGTACCTTGTTTTTCATTACAGGTTTTCAATGTCACCACCGTCTTTTATCTCGTGAATTAGTTATATCGCCTCCATCACTAAGCTTGCAGATCCCTTGCACATTTGACCTGGTTTTCAGTTCATGTGTGATCTCTGGCTGTTTTAAATTTTCCTCATACTGCACCCCGGGGCTGATCATTCTGGCGACCGCAGTATAGGCTACTTTCGTCCGATCCTCTGTCAAACCGATGGGTCACAACAGGCGCGGTGTATGCGGGCGCTCTGTCCTGTGTTTTGCAAAGTAGGTAGAGATTGCAGTTCCAGATCTTTAATTGTTAAGAGCAGTGGGAGGTCCCGTATTAGCCCCATCTCATTGTGCTCCACGGGGCTGATTAGCTGTTGATACCAGACCAGTGCTCCTGCATAGCCCTGTCGAGTTTTAGCTTGAAGATGTTTTCGTTTGGCTCTTCCACCACGTCATCCGGAAGTGCATTCCAGAGATTTGTCACCCTCCTCGACGGACGATAGATCAGCGGCAGACCGTTTGGCAGCATCTTGCGGAGCGTCAGTGCGTGTCCCCTGATGCGGATGTTGTTCCTCGGGGAATTCCAACTGCAATTATGGGCCAAAGTCGCT